GAAGTGAGATGGGAGGCTGGGCTATCCTCCCCTTTACAGAAAGCAGCTCTTCCAGAGAAATTCCACAGCTGTTTCTGAGTCTGTCCAGAGTTGCCTGCCTGCTTTGTTGATGCTGTTTTCTGCTGCTGTACTGTGCTCTGCGATGGGAGCAGAGTAGTCCTTGGAACTGATGTAGCTCTGTAGCATGATCTGTGAAACCAAGCGGGGTTAGGGGAACCCCTTCCAGCTCTCATCAGCGCAGCATCTCCCTATGTTCTTGGCTGACAAGGGCTCAGCATTTGTTGATACGACTGCAGCAGAGCTGCCTCCTGCCTCAAAGGCACCTTTGGTGGCCAAGCACCAGAAGCACGGGCTTAGGGATGTTGGGGATGGTAAGCAGAAGGATACTGAAGTCTCTGGAATAAGTTCATTTCCAGGGCTGGTGCTTGTGAAGGAGAGAGGAGCCCCAGCTGCTTTCATAGTTAGAGCTGAGTAATAGTCCTTTAGCCGGACAAGGCATTTCACCCCTTTCAGATGCAAATCCCCTTGCCCTGTCTGTCTTCCTGCTGCAGAAATTACCCCTCTGGAGTAACCCCCAGATGTAAATGAGTTTGCAATTTACCCCTTCCCACTCCAGATGCAAAACAGCTGGGCAGTTACAGAGCTGAACTGCAGTGGGTACTGTGCAGCTTCCAGGCTCGATTGAGCAAGGCGTTGTTTTCTGGACTGTAGCAGAACATGGAAACACCACTAATCAAACACACCACAGTTTTCATCTGGTTTTATTTTATTTCATTTTAACTTAGTTTCCCCAGGAAATGAGCGCTTTTGTCTCCTGTTTGGCCAGTTTCAACCAGATTGCACCAATGGTTGACAGTCTGGAAGATCACTAATTTCCCACTTGTGTTTGTTAAGATTAGTGGCTGGCTGGGAAATCTTTAAAGCATTGCTCTCTCTGACAAAAACTAGACTGTTTACAGCTATTTTGTGTTCTACCTGCCAGCAACTGCCTGGCCAGGCATTGCATGTGTGGTGGTCTAACATACAGCACCTCTGTAGCCCTGGCCAATTTGCAGGGTGTGCGTGGTCTCCAGGGCATGGATGGCTATGAGGCAACGTCGGAGGGAGCTGCAGTGGCTGCAGTGGAGGGGCAGGAGGACGGAGGACACAGATCTCCCACTGATGGGTCCCATTTGGTACTCTTCCTTGCAGCCTGGCTACCCTTTAGTTTGTCAAACTAAAACCACCTGAGATATAATGTGGCTTGCAGGCTGGCACCCATAGCTTGGAGCCTGCTTTCTTTGACCTCCAGGACACCTTCGGATGAATGAAGGTGAGCATCAGATCAGATAGGAATGTGCATCCTGGGCAGGACTTATGTGCAAACTTGCACATGTGCAATGGCAGCATGATAATCTGGGTGTTCACCAGCATCATCCTGTTGAATTCAATGATAATTTGACACCGGTAACATTCAGAGCCATATTTTTTTCCCAAAATAGCTTGAGAGTGAATACAATCCTTGATTCCCACACAGCCCCCTGCAGGTGTGCACTTGGGCTGATGGGGTACTGTAAGATGTCAGGTGCATGCTTCTGTGTTGCTAAGCATCCCAGTATAGATGCAGCTGGTTTGGCTTGGGTGATCTGCCTCGGACATGTGGACAACATTGTACTAAGAAAAGCAGACTCACCGTCACCCAGGCTGTGTCTGTGCTAGGCAGTATAGCTGTGTTCGATGTGGTGGGCACAGTTCTTCCAGACTTGGACTGAAGGAAGAACAAGCATCGACATTAGAAATAGGTGTCAGAGGTGTCAAGAGCATTTGTGGGGTGCACATGCAGTTCTTCAGCCAGTGCGTGTTTTGATACCCTCTTTGTTGCTGCTGATCTTCAGACAATACATGCCTGTTGTCCTGGGGCATAGAGCATGGTTCTTTGGAGATCACCAGTGTCACTGTCTAATATCAAAATATTATGTGAAAGGGCCAAGGTGAGTCTCAAATACCCATATACCAGCCCTGTTCAGACAGCCTGTGGAAGTAAAAGCAGATGTCTCTTTCAAGGTGAGATGAAGGGAGGAACTGTTTAGCTGGGCCCATCATGGGTTATGGAGGATGTGGAGCACCAAGTCATACTAACCGGGCAAAAGGAGATGTTATTCCCTTTCTGCACACACAAACTCTGCCTGTGAATCTCTGGCATCTGAATGCACTATTAGAGAAGTGTCACTCAGTGAAGGAGAATATCTCTTGCTTCCCTTCCTTGTCCTTGGGCACCAACTCAGAGCACTGGCATCTTGGCATGGTAGATGACTGTGGTGAGAATGGACTCTTGGGCTTGGACAAGACATCCTGTGCAGGTCCCTCCTCTGATAGTGCCAGACACCCAAACTTCTGTGTCAGAAATCCTGAAGCAGGCAGTTGTGGGGTAAAATGTTGCTGCAGTACCATCTCTGCCTGTTGTTAAATGTATTGGGCTAAGTATATACATTTAGTGATGGTGCAGTGCCTTGTCTGTTAGCTTTTAAACTGAGCTGAGCAGGTTGCATGCCAGGAGGGAAGGATTGCAGTGCTTTCATCACCACAATGGACTTTTCCATGGTGGAGCTTTTCCAAAAGATGTGCACTGGAAAGGGCTGGTATGGCCCAAGTTCCTAGGACATTGCAGGCTCTGACTGACTGCACCTCAGGGACTTGATAACTCCAGGTTTTGCAGGCTCTTCTTTCTGAGGATGAGGAAAGATGGAAGTGAAACTTGCTTTGTTAGGAACAAAAAAACATGTAAAGCTTGTGGTAGTAGCTCCCAGCACCTGTTAGACAAGGTAAAAATACTGTTTAGAAGAAATGCTGGGTGTATGTTTGCAAGTGGGGGCATACAAAGGCAAATAAGACTTTTTAAAAAGCATGAAGCATGCATAGGGAGCGTGCTGTCAGACACACTGCCTCTTGCCAGCTAATACCATCTGCAAATAAAACAGGTTGTTGCTATTGTAGCTGCTTACTCTCATAAAGCAGGATGACCCAGACTTGTCTGATGCTGAGAAATATGTTGGCAATTTTCCTGAAGTCCAAGGTGTGCAGAGTAATTTACTTAAAAGACCCAATATAACAATTATCATCCAGGATGAACACATACAACTGTAATGTTTGCTTGCAGTTGTATTTTATATGACACTCTCCCTGAAGTTGCTAGTTGACTGCATTCACCAACACAGCCTGGAGATGATGGGCTTCTTCCTGACCTGAAGTTAGCAGCAGTAATTACACTTAAATAAGTTTTAATGTGGCAGTAGGAGGGATTAAGTGGCTTGGGCAGAAGGCTGTTAGTGGGGTCATTTGGGATCCAGGCCTTGGGAGCTTTCCTTCTAACACATCAGCTGCTTAGTACATCTGTTCTTAAAATCTGATTTGTGACAATTCATTTCAGAGTTGTTGATTGATGTTGGTCTTGGTTTCCTCCTCTGAAACAACCCCAAAATCCCCAAATGTTCGTTCATGGAATTGAAGTTTGAATGTAAAGCCTCCCTCTCTTCTTCCTGCTCTTTACCTCAGATAAAGGTGGAAGAAAGAGAGTTTTGTGCGCAGCCATCTACTGGAGGCATCAATCATGTTGGGAGTGGAGGCTGCCAGTTTTTCCACACGTTATTAATGATGAAAAGATATAAACATATGAATGCATAATTGTGTTAGATTTAGATTACTTACAAAATAATGACATCAGGAGAGCAATGCGGTTACTAAATCTGGTGGACAAAGCACTGAAGTGCCAGGACTAACATTGCAGAACTCCCCTTTGCATCTGCATTATGATACAATCTTTAATTCTGTAATTGCATCATTTTTTCCCTTTCACAGTGTCCCTCTTTCACTGGATAGGTAATTGCTGCGTAATTCATTTTCTCTTCCCCACATTTACTTTCTGCATGTGTCTCCACGTCTATTTATTTTACACCCCACCCAGACCTTGAACTGAACAGTGCTGCTTATTTCTTCCTGGGGGGCTTTTTCAGGTGGGGAAGTTCTTATTCTTGCAGCATCTCAGGTACAGGTACTGTCTTCATTTTCATAGCTGAGGAATGGAGTCAAAGAGCAAATAAACCCTAAGTGATTGAAACACCTGCAATTTTGGCTGCTTTAAAGAGATACTTGGGGATGATTTTTGTTTTCCATTTGTCCCAGAGTACCTGGCATGACGTAGCAGTTCATCTGTTGGAAGCACAAGGACCCAGCTGTTAGTGTCGGCACTCTTGTAGATTAGCCCTAAATGCCTTGGCTTTGCAGAGGGTGGGCGCTGCCCCATTAGGGGTCACTTGAAGAAGAAAACTTCTTTCAGAGACTTGCTGAGCATCTTAAAAAGACTATGGAGCCAAGAAGGAGCCTGCAAGTGGTATGTCCAACTTCCTCAAGCAAGGTGGTTGTCTCTTTTTCTTCCTGCATTGCCTTGTTCACTAATCTTCCTGACCTCCACTGGGTGAGGCAGTGTTTGAGACAGCTGTTGCTCTTATCATACAACCTTATCTTTTTTCTCAAAGCAGTTGATTTCCAGGGCTCAAATGGTTTGTGATAATTGAATTGGAGACAGTCAATGTAGATGTATACAGGAGCTTGATGAAGGCTGTGTGTGTAGTCTTCATATGATATGTCTTAATTTTGAAATGATCAAGTTTGCAGTCTTTGTATTAAAAATGAACATAGCTAGGCTTAATGTAATTTTATAACTTTACAAAGGGAAAGGGGAGAGATACATAAAAATTAGACCTTGTTACATTAATCTGCAGTGGCGTGAGTAATCCCAAGGGCATAGACCTTTGGGCTGATTTCTGACCCATGAGATAAGGACGTGCTGAAGAGCACTGTTTGGGTATAGATGGTGGTTGTTGATAGAGTGAGGTGATGTGCTCAGGGGGTCATCTGCTGCTGTGCTGGGGGGTTTTGCAGCCAAGAGTCAGGTTACCCTGAGATCCCATTTAAGGATGAGGTAGGCAGAACACTGGTGCTTCCCAAGTTCTCTTTGACTTGCCTGTGCTGTCCTGCTCTTCACTCTGTTGCAGCCCAGTTTCTCATCTCCTTAAACTCACCCTCCGCAGTCCTGCCTCCTTCCCCTTTGTTCCTGTGCTTCCCTAACAGTTGCCATCTGCTTCTTCACTTGTTTTTGGGTACCATCACTGTAGCCTGTTACTTCCAATGCCACCTATCATTTTCCAGAGGTCCCAGGTCTAGATAACCTGGTAGGATTGTATACAATCTTGATTCCAGTTTAAATCTGTAATACTCGCTTGTTCAAACTGTAGGTGAAGGCCAGTCCAGTACCTTTGATTGAAGCATTTTAGAGGATTCATCTTACTTCTAGACCAGAGCAATTACTGTGAGCATCCTCTGAGATCAAACAATGGGTTAATAGGTGCTTTAGGCCAACTCTATATAAATAATATACATCTGAAGAAAATGCTGTGTTCTGCCCTGTTTCTCACTGTTTTGTTGTATGCGGTCTTCCTTGATCTCGCCTACCTTCCGTGGAGTTGAACATGATAGTGAAATTACATCAGTTCATAGTGAGGAACGCTGGTTGCTTGTGCTTTTTTTGTTCTATGGAACTGAATAGCAACATGATAGTGCAAGAAAGAGTGTGTGGGTTCTAGAGACTGGGCTTCCAGCTGAAATGCAAGTTGGTGCAGCTTGGCCACTTTCCAGAGAAGTGATGTCTGTAATCTCAGCAAGTCATTAGATGTCTACATGTCTGTCTTCTGACCAATTTACAGTGAGTTTCTTCCTACAGCTTTATTCAGAGGATGGGGAATGGTTAATAAAAACCTTACGCAGCAGCAAGAGGGGACAAAATAGACATTTTTGGTTTTGTTCAAATGAGCATAACAATTGTCTTTCTTTATGTACTTTGGGCTTTTTTGTTTCATCAAACCAGATGAGGAAAAGTGGATATACCAGCAAAGAAAATATGTTTGCCAACAAAATCTGGCCTTGGAACAGACCAGACTGACCTGAAGTGAAACAGTTGGGATGATAATGATTTAAAAGTCAGACTTGTGTTCTTGGGAGTTTCTGATATAAATCATGACCATGATTGCTATAAACCATGTCAAACTAGATTTGTAAAATAATGTCAGTGTCTTAAAACGTTTCAGATGACTCAACAGATTGTACATCTTTACAAAATAATTAATAAGCCAGATGCTAAAAACTGGCACCAACTAGTTTTTCTCCTTGCATTGGCACTGTGTGTAAGTCCAAGAGGTAGGATTTGATTACTGAACTTCAAGTATTTGAAAAGGAGAGAGTATTAAAAGGAGCATGGGTCTGGTCTTCAGCTCTTGTCCAAAGGTACTTGGGGATCCAAGGACTTCGTCTAGTCTGTGGAATGTTACTGGGAGAAATGACTTGTATCAATGGAGAGATCTACACATCTTATAGAGGAGGTAATAAGGTTTTGTGGGAGAATAAAACCCAAAAACAAAACCAGAAAAGATTGCACGTCCATCCTAGCCATCTCCAGCCTGGAAGGGGTTGGTAAGCCTGCATGCCTGGGATTTGGTCTGAGCTTGGGTAGGCTTCAGTTAATCCCTCACACAACCTTGTTGTCTCTATTTTGTGTGTCTGGTTTTCTTTTGAAGTAAGTATGTTTAGAAAGATCTTCAGGCACCATAAGTTGCCAGAGCTCCTCTGGGAAAAAAGTGGCTCCTGTGTGGGGTGGCCCCAGTGTTAGGCGTGCTCCACTGGCCTCTCTTGACCCCTGGTTTGCCTCCCCCCTCTCCTCTTCCTCACAGCATCTGTGGTCAGACTCTGAGAGGCAGGGACAGGGCTTGCAAACAGCTGGCTCAGCAGAGGAGGGGGAGAGCCAGCTGATGCCACTATTAATAGTCTTTCAAAATTGATGGATGAGACAATTATAAAATTGCAGAGGGAAGTGAAACTTAACGGAATCCATGTTTTAATTGTATTGTGGATGTTTTTCAGCAGCCGGCTTCTGAGATGCAGGACAGATCGAGCATTTTTGTGAGGATGTTGATGTAGGCTGCAAAATGTATTGTTTTTAAAGAAAGAAAAAGAATGGGCCAGTCTGTTTTCCACACTCTGATGCTCTCAGTCTTCTTCAGTTGTACTGTGTAATAGCATGCAATGTCTAGACAGTAAATCAGATCTGAAATACTATCCTGATGCATCTAGAGAAGAAAGTCTCCTACAAGCACCTGTGGTGTCAAGGTGCCCAAGCCTGTGAGGGGTACCTAGGTTCTGGTTTTGTAATTTCCCCTGTGTGTCCTTCATCCCCATGGAAAGGAATGAGGATGCTGGAGCCATCTGGCTTGTGGTGACCGGCAGCTTGGGTCCTTGTTTCCTCCCTGCTGGCATGTCAGCCTTCTGGCACTGACACCTTCCTGTCCATAACACGGGGAAGATCCGTTTTCGGCTGATGAAGCCCTCCTGCTCAGTCTGCAAGTAGCGGTTGCGTGCTGCATGAGGTTTTCTTCTAGGCAGGTGTTCTGTTTGAGTATGCTTCATCCACGATTGGATGAAAACATTCTCTGTCTAAGTTTTGTTTTAACTCAGGCTTTAACAAAACCAGTCTTCTTTGTAGTATTGTTCCTAGCTTTTCTTTCCTCTGGGACTGAGAACTTCTCTCCGCAGGCTCCTTAACTCAAATGTAACCTGTCATAATTCTGCATGTTTTGAAAAAGTACACATATAGGTGGTTTAGTAAAGAGAACAAAGTATCAGTCTTTTCTCTTGCCTCCTCCTACTTTCTCCCAAGTCAAAAGCTGAGAACAGGACACCTTTCAGGAGTGGGCTCTTTAATTTAAAAGTCCCAGTCGTAAAGTTCTAGCATCTTCATCAGACAAACCTTCTGTTCCCATCAGCTGCAGGGGAAGTTGCTTAAAAGAAGGCGTCCTCCAGGGCTTGGAGTGGTGCTCTGTTTTAAAAGTGAATAGTTTGGGGTGGAGATGGTCTTCTGCCTCAGTACTTTAGCATGCCTATTTTCTCCACCTCTCTCATACCTCTGTAAGGATTTCTGGGGTCCAGTCTGGCTGTGAGGAGCTCCCTCATTTTCCCCTACTTAAGCTCCCTGGGGCAACAGCTTCAATTCCAGTGGTGAGGTTTAGAAATGGGTTCCTCTTGCTTCATTTCCTGCTCTGGAGTTGGTTGGTATTTTAATGGCTGTAAACTAACATTAGGAGGGATAGCACACTGGGGAGCTGGACTGCTTCAAGAGGAAAAGTTTCTCCTTGCAGGCAGTAAAACAGGCTTGTGGTCGTGATCCCTGTGAGTTACAGAGGTGCCTTGACTGAGTAGGCAGTGAGTGGGGAAGATGAGAGTGGATCACAACAGCTTTCTTACATCCTAAAGGACACAAAATCTTTGCACTGTTTACTCTGAAAATATTCTCTCTCCTTTTCCAGAAGTGCACTGTTTACACGCAGGCAAACACTGAGATTTTACAAGTGTACGTGCTTGTGCTTTTTGTGCTTTGGGCACAGCTGGCAATGCTGATAGGAGGGCTTCTATTGTACAGACACTTGCTGCTTAGAAAGTAGAAATTTGCTGAGAGTGGCACTGGGAGCCCAGCAATTCTCCCTTCAGCGAGGCTGGGAACTGCCGGCAGCGGCTGAGCTGCGCTGGGCAATGTGTGTGTGCGTGCTCGCAGCAGGACCAGGGGTGCTGAGGTGCTGGTGCTGTTACTTGGAATATTGAAATTCTTTAAGCTTTTTTTTTCCTTAGCAATACTTTCCAAATATAATTATTTAAAAGAAAACCTGAATTATGATATTTTGCAGATGATTGGAAGCCTGTTTTCTTCCTTTTGCCGTGGTAGATCTGTTAACATCAGTGACTGTAGCTGCAACTTGCTCGTCCAGGTGTAGCTTGTCTTTGCTTTTGTGGGATCAAGGCTGTTATGGTATTTTTTGACCTGATTCTCACAGGATTTCCTTTTGTTTGCTGCATCGTTCTGTATGCCAGTTTCCCTGTAAATGTTATGAGACCTGGCAGTATGGGCCTGATGCCAAGGGTAAGGGGCTAATAAAAATACATTTATTTTTATTTCGGAAGCTCTTGCAATTCACACTTCACTGGCAGGGCAGGTATGGTGTTTCACAGAAGAATTCCTTTCTCATCATTTTGATTTCAAAGTGCTCTAACAGGGTCCATGTGCAGCCCTAGGCATGGCAAATGACACACCAAGGCCAGGATTCATTCAACAGCAGGAGATGGGGACAGAGGTGGGGCTGGGGACACAGCAAATGTGAGTATGAGGTCTGTCCAGCGTAGCAGCACTGCTGTGGCATCCCTGGAGCAGGGTGTGATGGCCCTGGTGGGGGCTAAAACAAGGTCCTGTTTCTATTTTCTGAGTGCCAAGCCAGTGCTGTAGCCATTCTGCTGTATTGCTTACTCAGCATTTTGTTCTGGGGAACCTGAAGGTATGTTGCTGTAGCTGAACAATGCCTCCTTCGTGAGATCTGAGATGCCTGCTCTTGCCATATCTGGCCGTGTCATGTGTGCCGAGCTAGGGACAGAAGTGCTTGTGAGCCCTTCCAGTAGCTGAGGGAGCTCTGACTCCCGATCCATGGCTGTGCTCAGCAGGCTGCTGCTGCGGAGTGTGAGGTACACAGCGCTGTCACACCAAGGGTCTTTCAGCCGGACTTGGTAACTTTTGCACCCAGGACTGTGCAGTCTGAGGGCACAGAGTTTAAGCTGGAGAGACACTTGATGAGAGGTCAAGATGGTTATTTGCATTACTGATGGGATGATTAGTAGGTGGTGTTCGTGGCTGTCATTAGAGACCTGTGGAAGACTGGTATTAAACAGAAAAGATCTCTGTGTCTGTGTGTAATTTATGAGGCCTTCTGCTCAAACCTCCATTCATACTCTCAGATGTTCCACACTGGCAGCGGGGAAGAGACACTGGAAGATGCTAATTATGTCCTGTGCTGTCAAATAGAAATAAAGGTGGCCGTGGCATGTGTTCTGCAGAGGCTTAGATGCTTCTCTATGTTGTGGATCAGCAGTGTACTGCAGGGCAGTGTATGAAGAGTGCAGGGGAATCTGATTTTCATATCCTTTGTTTAGAACTGAAGATTGACTTTATATAGAAATATCCGTATTTTTACAGGTGAAATCAAAGGGCCAGGCTCTTTGGTCCAAAGCTGTTTGTTCTTGGTATTTGTCACGTGTATAGCTGACTGAATTAATCAAATGGAAAATGCTTTTTCCCAAACCAGAAAAATTCCACAAAAAGAAATGTATTCCACCTATTTTTTTACTTTAAAAGCAAAATACAAAAAGATCCCTCTTCTCTCCTTCTCTCACCCTCCTTCTTCTATGTCTCTCTTAGTGGCAAAATGAGAAAAGTCAAAGCCTGAAGAAAAAGGTTTGGGTGGGCATTCACACATGTATGTATGGAGGAAAAAAATCAAAATATATGGATGTTTCTGACTTACCACAGATAAGCTGGTGAAAATCAGTGATTTATGTAAATGTACTTCTATGACAAAGAAGCATTTAACAGCTTGCAAGTTATTCCACTTTGTATTCTGTTGGTAGATAAACATAGGCTTAATTCTCCACTTACTTGCCCTTTCATATCCTTCTCTGACTTACAGAACAGTTGCATTCATTTAAAACTAGTCTAGGGTATTGAATAGCCATGTCTGGTTAATTTTCTTTTAGCTCATTAGCTTTTTATTTTTTTTTAATGTGGCCACGACAGGTGGTGGCAACTCCTAGCTCTGAAGTGTGCAATGCTTTTCTTTGAGTGTCCTGACCTGCCTACTGCTTAGCTGTCCCTGGATCACAGCTCAGGAAGCCTCCCTTCTCCATTTTGTTCATGACACACATGTCTGAGCAAAAGCCAGTAATGGCTTTCAGAGGGTCTGAAGTCACAGGTGTGATATGATGCATACTTTTGAGATGTATCAGCTTGCCCCTTGTGTAAATCAAATCAAACAGGGTAAGGTGCGGATCCTGTTTTGTTTCAGCATGGCTTGCTTATTCAGCGGAAAGGATGCGTGCAGTCATCTAGATGGATGAAACCATCTTTGAGCGTTTCAGTAATATCACACATGACAGAAATTCTGAGCTTCTCTGTGTGAAATACATCTCTTCCAGGAGAGGAGAATCCTTGACAGTACTTTCAAAACGTATTAGGAAATTGTGGGTTAAATAATTACTCTATTTCCACATTAACCTTTTTGTTTCTTGCCACTTTTCCAATTGTGGCAAGATTTGCAGGTAAGAAGCTGAAAAAGAAAAGTAATATAAGGGGGCAGTTGGTTTGTTTCGGGTTTTGTTTGTTTTACTTCTTTAGTGTATCTTGTCTGCATCTGACTCCTGGCAGGGTTTTGTGACCTTCAGTGGATCTCATCAGTGTTTTCCATTCAGAGCCCTCCAGGCAGACAGAAACCTACACAGCAGAGCACTGAAAACTCTGAACTGCCCAAAAGGAACAGCATCTTGCACCAGCTCTTCTTCTTTCCTCCTGTGTTGGTGAACATTGAGGGGAGTTGTTTAAACCAGGTGAGCTTTACTGCAAAAGGAAAAAAGAAAACAACATGAAACCTTAAATGTTTGGAGATAATTATGAAGAGGACTGATCACTCCTGTTCCTCCTCAGGACAATCCCACATTTATTGCTGACCTTATTTCAAGACATTTTTAAAGTTTTTGAAGTTCAGCTTCATCTGAAAACAGAACAGTGGTTTGGTTGTAGTACACCTAGGAAGTGAGGGTTAGTCTTGTGTGTTAGGATACATGTGTTTAGACTCTCTTCAGCTTGAATATTCTTGGAATATTCTCAAAGTGAAAACTGGGATTCACCTAGGCATTAGCTGAAGAAGAAAAGGTCTTAGGCCACAGAAGTCATAAACAAAAGAAACGCAAGTTGCAGTTCTTTAGTGCTACATAAAAGGAAACTACTAAATATGTTCCTTTGGTAAGCAAACCAGTTTGTGAACTGTATTGTATTATTTTTTTTGGTAAATGTTTCCATTTCATCAGCTCCTGTTCTAAGATAGGTTTCTGGCACCTTACCTTCTGCAGCCAAAACTGTGGAGATTAGCTCAGTTGGTTGGAGGCTGGTGCTAATAACACTGAGGTTGTGGGTTCAATCCCCATATGGGCCATTCACTTAACAGCTGGACTCTGATCCTTGTGGGTCCCGTCCAACTCAGAATATTCTGTGATTCTGTAAAAAATGTAGAAGAAAGAGGTTTATCAGTATAGCAGTTTCAACGGATTGTGTGAAATCTCAAACTGGTTATTAGGTCTTTGAATTATTGGGTGACGTATTTGGTGGCTAGTATTCTGTATCAGAAGTACATAATGTAAATAAATTTGATTAGAATAGTGCTCATACACTTTCTGTCAGTCTTTTGACTATATTTTTCTAGTTGTGTAAAGCAAAAACTTTGGGTATTGGCAAAATCTCTTCCTGTGAATGCTTTTCCTGTAAAAAGCTGGTGCAAGGTAGTTCTGTCCTGTCAAAGGGAATGACTGGTAGGTGTGCTGCACCTCCCAAATCCATACATGTCTCTGTGTCACTTTAAAGGATGCATACTGATGATGTAGTTGTTCCTTCATCACAGTTCAAGGTTCCCTCTTTCACTGTGCCTTGGCTGCAACTAAAAGGCCTGCTTACAGATCTTACACTGGTAGAGGAAGGTAAGTGTAGCATCCACCTGCCCTTGCTTCTTAAGAAAGGGTACTTAGCATCTGGGAGGCACAAATACCATATTGCAACCCTTGCTCTCCCCAGGAAACCTGAAGCAAATCAGAAAAAGCTAGAGAAGTGGGGTCCTGTAATCCACACAGTGTCTGCCTCCTAGGTCTTAGTGCAGTGGCTTTTTGAAAGCAATGAAAATAGATGGCCATATGCCCAGTGCAAGAACTTATTCACTCCACTGTATTTATTTTTATAGTGAAATTGCATTTTCATATCTCCGTGAGAGAGACTGTAGCGGGATACAAATGCAGTGAAGCATTTCTTTCTGTGGACATAGCAACTTGGGCACAGATGTGATGAAACTTGCTACTCTCTTCATGAAAACACATTGAGCTGGGAATACTACCGTTTTGCATCCTCTCTAAGGACATGTGGCAATGCAGTTGTGGTGGATGGAGGTCGTATTTCTTTATGCTTCAGATCGACAAGAAAAGATGGTTGAACAGGCATAGCTTCAGTGAAGTGTGTCCATGATTTCAGTGAAATGTGGGATTCAGAACCACCTAGAAAATAAAAGTATTATTCAATGGAAATTTAATTTTACTTTTTAGTGACTCAGGAATGCTAACACTAAAGATTTGAGTCATGTTTCTTAAAGATGTTTTAACATGACTTTCAAAGTTATAGGTACATTTCACTGCATTGAAATTAATATGCATGTAAAAGCCTGAGAGTACAAAGTCTGTGCTTGTGAATTGGGCAGTTAGTGGCTTGGCCCCACCTGCATTTTGTGTTTGCATGCAAAATAATTTGTATTAGCAGTAGAGCATTCCGTGTGCATATAAAGTGTGTTACAACTAGTCTGCACACAACCAAAGTAGGTCTGAGAAATCTAGGAGGCCATGTAGGTAAGCCTGGCTGCTTGCTAGAGCTCACTAGATTGTGTCTTGTCTTAAAAACGTTAGAGGGAAAAACAAGACAGAGGTGAGATAGTGGGAGTTACGTGGTGATTGTTGTAGTTAGGATCCAGTCTGCTTCAAGTAATGCAGCGTGCTGTTGATGTTAGAGGATTACACAGGGCTCTGTTTCAACTGATCTCCAGAATGACTCAGTGTAAGAACTGAGGTCATGTGGATTATTTTTAAAAGACCTGTTGGACTAATTAGGCTATGTTATGTGGCATAATGTTAGTTAAGCATGCCCAGAGTTACTGATAAGAATTCAGCCTTTAATCTTCTGCTGGAAGCAACTTCCCTTCAAGATTCAGAGATGTACAGCAGTTGTAACATATAAAACCCAAAACATTATAGAAATTAAGGGGGAAGGAAAGAAGCTGCGTAAAGTAGAAGGGGAATTAATTATATGACAAGGGACACACTGAACAAGCAGAGGGCTCAGTGTCGCAGGGAACAGATAGGTTGCATGAGTGTTTAGTGACTACTTTGAGTCTGTTCATGTGCTTATAATATATATATATATATCTCTAAAAATTTGTGGCTGCTGTGATTATGTATAATGGCTTACTATGTAGTTGTTTGAACAAGGCAACAGAGAAAGTAAGACTTCAGACTCTTGCTTCTTTTATTGGTTACAAACATTGAGTTCCTCTTTCACCACCTCCAGACTCCAAATGTTGCTTGTATGTTATCTGTATTCTCCCTTGCTTCCTGCTTGCTCTCTGTCCCTACCCACCTCTGGCCCCTACCCTGGCTTCCAGCTCCTTTAGGGAGTCCAGTATCTTTTTTTCCTGTTCCTTTCTCCATCCTCTTCATACCCTCTGTTAATCTTCAGTAACACAGATGTAAATCAGGCAGATTTTTAGTTCCCCATTAACTTTTGTAGCATACGTATTTTTGAATTTTTTTTTTAAATTTAAGAAAGGTGTTTGTGCAGTGTTTGTTTCCAGATAGTGTAAATGATGGGTGAAGACCTTAGAAAAAGAATATTTCTACAAAGAAACTCTTAGCATAAACCTTGCCAAATTTTATGTGGCTGAAAAAAGTTGTCTCTTGACCCATAATTCCAGAGAGGTGATTTTATTGAGGTTTAGACTCAGGTTTTATATTGTAGGAGGTCTGTGTCCACTAAGGAAAGCCATCATCTCTTACATACTGTTGACTGTCCAGAGGCAAATTTCAAGTCTGGAAGTGTGTGTCCATGTACTAGTGGGAGGGCTCTGTCAAAATTGGGTCTTTGTACTGCCAGACAAGGGGGCAATGTGATCAGATGAACCAGGACATGCAGTGGAATGATTCCAGTGGTTTTTGACAATTGCAGGAAGACAGAGGACTACCTGACTTCACAAAGCCTGCTGGGCAAACGTGTTGAGCCAGCAAAAGGGTTTGAAGAAATGCTGTGTTTTGTGCCTGTGATATGTATGGATGGGTGTTGGATGCTTAAAGACCATCTTTGCTTTTGTGTGCCATGTCGGCCCTGTGCTGGCGTAGGTTACAGGGTGGCATTGGATGTCCCAGCACAATGTTCAGTGTGGTGTTCTTCCTCTAGTTCAAGATTGACTTGTTTTTTTGATTGTATTTTGATCCAGAAGCAATAACCCCTGCTATCAGTGAACCACGAGGGGGTACAATACAACAAGTCCCAAGAACGTGGTATCCCAGATTAGCAGTGGTGGCAAGTGTTGGGTCCAGAGCAGTTCTTTCCTTTTCAGCAGTGCCTGGTGTTGGCGCAGTGTAGGCTAAACTTATGCTGCCTGAATACCATCTTAACTAACTTCTTGTTCTTTGGTACTATTCAGTCTTCCCAGCACAGACAAACATCACTGCATTTATCCTCTTCAAGGGCTGTTTTTACTCACTGCTTTTTTTCTTTCTTCACCCTTCCCCCCCCACCCAGTGACACCTTCAGTAATGCTTCATTGCTATGCAAAAGGAGGAAAGCACATTGTCAGCAGCCTACTTCAGACAGAGAAATTTATATCTGTGAGAAGCATATGTACAGAACAGCAATTACTCAGATCATCAGTATTTATATAGCAGATAATAGTTGTCATGGACAAGATGAATATTGTCGCAAGAGCAATAGCTGAGGGGGGGGATGCAAAATATAATTGTTAGATTTCTTTAAATGGGATAATTATTTAACTTTCAAGTGATTGGTGAATACAGCTTAGAGTCTGAATTAAATATCCAATGGGAGTCCATCAGCTTGTAGTAAGTAAAGGAAATGCCCACTCCTGTCTACCCTCATGTCACATGGTGAAAGCTGCCTGGGATGTTGTCCTTTAGATATGGCTTTAGCTGAAGGCAATGATGGGGCCCTCCGAGAATGAGGAATCATATAAAATAACAAAAAAGTAATCAAGCAGCTTGTTTGGAAAATTAATTTTTATTGTGTCTGCCATGGACAGACACTTGTGGTTGAGATGGAGACATGGTTGCATATTCCTTGATTTTAAAAGCATACTCTGGTGTTTGGTGAAACATGGCCATCCTTAAGGGCAGATTTTTTACCACAGCTTTCCAGCATCCTGCCTGCCAGCTGATGTGCCTCTGGCTGCCTTGGCGCTGCCTGACTGGACAGGCAGCCCAGTGAGTCCCTGTCTGGCCTCCTGGCCGGAGGGACAGCCTAGGTCCAGCCTGGGTCGTGGCTTCCTGTTTGCACAGGAGATGCAGCTTCTGATTTCTCCAAAGAGAATGCCTCCCCTCACCTGCCTTTTTTAACCTTTTGTATGGCAGCGTGATAATTTGGAGAGCTTTCATTCGCTAGCAAGAATGCTAGCCTGTTCTGTTTTTGATACATATTAAATCAAAAACTAACTGGGCTGTTTGCTACAGGCAGTTTATTTACTGACTTTTTTCTTCTTCTTGTGAAATGCCTCTGAATAGCTCTATTTTTT